AGTCTGCTCTTATTTTCACTGAGGTTGAAACCAGCACTCTTCCGTCTTTTTGGCGTTTTGCTCTAGTGGGGAAGTTCCTTTATGGTCACCCAGAACTTGAGATCATTCGGAAAGATTTTGATGCTATGAAGCTATTAGACAATTAAAATATTGACTTACTTGATGACATACATGTACTTATTCAGTTATCTCACGGTGATGAGTACACTCGTATTTTTTCTCGTAAAGTTATCGACAACCGTTTTATGAAAATTCTGAAGTGTACTGTCGATTTTGATCCAAAAGCGGAGTCCCCTATCATTCCTGTTTGGATAAAGTTTTCGGGGTTAAAATTTAAAATTATATCTGTTCAACTTGGAAATTCCTACTCCTTAGCAACTGCTTACGGTAAGCCTCTTAAGATTGATAGTCGTATGCTAGCTGTCACTAGACCCTCTGTGGCTTGTGTGTTAGTTGAGAGAGAGATCACTCAATCAGCTCCGGATGAGATATGGATTGAAACCACTCACAAGGGTATTGACAAAAAGTTGAAATAGAACCACACCCTTCTTATTTGTCTCATTGTAGTATGTTTTGCCACAGTTATACTATCTGCTATCGATTGCATTCTCATCTAAGGCCGGATACTACTAAAGATCAACAACCTATTCAAAATTTTTTCATACTGGATTAGGTGTTGACGCGTTGTCACCTACCATATCTGCTGAGAAGGTGCAGCCCGACCCTCCTTCCAACACCGCAGTTCCTGATGAAGAACACCATACCCAACATGTTCTACCCCTGGATGCTTCTGCTTTTGAGCAATCTATCCCAGCTGCTCGTTTGGAGCATGGTACTTTGGAGTCCCATGAAGCATCTTCCGATACTACAAGCACAAATCCAAATGTGTCTATATATCACTCACTGTTATTAAAGAAGACTCAAATGCCAAGACACACAAGAGTGCTCCTTTGATCCAATAAAAAATCAGCTGACACAACAAGTAATTGCTTTTAATGTTCAACAACCTACACATGTCCGACACGCTTTAGACCAATCCATTGATCAGGTGAGCCAGTCTTCGAATGAGGAATGACAGGTCTATTCCAGGAGGAAGAAGAAGAATGGAGGCTGACTCGAGCTTAGGAATTTATTGGATGATACATTGGTTACTATTAGCAATGACACTCACCTTACCAATTTGTTAGTTGGCTCATTTCCTAGAACTAGAGGCAGAGATTGGACAAAATTGGGTCACTCTCTAGCTATCTGATACTACGTGTTTTGGGACTTTTGGTTTTTTTGGGCTTTCATGTATTTTTTTTTTTTTTTCTGGAACCATTTGCATGTGATGTTTATCATGTGGGTAGGGCGCCATGCTTGGGTCCTCTCCCACAATCTATCTATATGCTTCTTTCTTTTAAATATATTAGCCCTTAGGCTTTCTAATATATATATATATATATATATATATAAGTTTGTTCATTAAATTTTAATAGTAAGTTCATTTGAGATCATGAAGAATTTAAAGAAAGGGAGATTCAAGTTCGAGATCGAGTGAATAACTTTGAAAGATAATGTATGTTCTAATTAAAGTTAAAGCTTAATTTATTTATATTAGAATTGATATTTAATGAAATATTTATTTAAAACAGCAATTAACATTTGAACGTAGAAGATCTGGAGATTGGGAGGCGATGGGATAAGCAAGCAAGCAAAGTGAGTAATTCTTTTTTTTGTAGGTATTAATTTAATATTTTCTTAAATAAAGAACTTCATTATTTCTTCATTTATCTCATTTTATAATCACAAACATGTTGTGAATTAAAGAATTATTAAAATTAATGTAGTGAAAAATAAAAAATGGAAAATAGTGATTTCAATGATCTTAAATAAATTAATGTAGTGAAAAACAAAAAATGGAAAATAGTGATTTCAATGATCTTAAATGGAAGTAATGAAAAGAAATGAAATATAAAGGCTTAAGCCAATTATGATTACTCTCATATGGTACTTACAGAGGATGCAATGTATCCACACATGATAAAGGAAATGGAAATGATAAAGGTGTACCTTCGGGTGTAAATTTTTTAGAGTACCTACGAGTACAATTGTGGGGTTAATTTCATGAATAACAGTAATCCTGATGACATTTTAAAGAGGTTAAAAAACCTAAATACTTAAATAGAAATAGAAAGGGTTAAATTTAAAATGAAAGCTTACAGCTTGATTATGTAATGATGATGCAGGGGACATGGAGGACCGAACCGGAGAGTTTGGTCCAGCTTTGCTGGATCGACTAGTCCCAAGGGGTGGGGCTGCCGACCCTACACCTCTCATTTTCTTTTGTCTTCCCATCACTCTTTAGCCACTCTTTCCTTCCTAGCACTTTCCTATTATAAGTCCTTACCAATTCTAAATTCTTATTTTTTTTACTCGTCCTTGCATAATCTGAAATTCTATTAGTACTTTTCAGTTATAAGTCCTTACTGATTTTATATTCTGATTTATTTTTCTCATCCTTGTTTAATCTGAAATTCTATTAGTTTATTTATCCTTGCCTAATCTGAATTCTTATTATTTTTATTCTCCTTTTTTATGTTAAACATCTCCTAAAATAAGTCCTAGTCCTCATTAAAAATAGGGGTGTTATGCTTAGAGTTTTTTGGTCTTTGCCGTGTTCTTTTAGATTTTTTGTGTGGAGTCTTTTTCCCTTTTATAGGATTGTATCTGAGGAGGTGGTGGTGCTACGGTTGTATCCTACTTGGAGGTGGTGATTGTATCTTCCCTTTAAGCTTCTCTAACTCTTCTCCTCCACTTCTCTTACTTGCCGACCACCACAAATAACTTCTCCTTGCACTGTAGATCCCTTTCCTGCTGCAGAAACTTGTTGTCTAGCTTTTCAGGTTCATCTCGGTAGCTAGTTGACACCCCTACATCAGCCCTTTCTACTGTCCGACACTCTGCCCTCCCAACCAACACCTCCTCCATCATTCCCAACTCTCCCAATTGATTGCTCCTCACCCCACCGCCCTTGCTGTCCAGTTTGTTTCAGCTACCAATCTACTTGTTGTCGGTCACCTACGACGCTCCATACTTGTTGTATTCACAATTCTGCACCTTCCCCTGCTGCCAATTGCACTCTCTTGTTTCCACCACCCTTGCCAACCATGCCGAACCACCTAGCCGACCTTCACCACCCTTGGAATGCACCTTAGAGGTGTTTGCCTGTATCGTTTATGTTATGTGCTGTTATTTTCTGTTGTGCTGTGTTGTAACTTCTCTCTACATTAATAAATTTTGTTTTGAGTATTCATTTCTTTTCCTACTAGATTTGGTATTAAATGAGCTACATTTCTTTTGGCTATTCATGTAAAACATTTGCATATGAATTTAATACACAATAATATTGTAATTGCTCACAAAGTTATAAAAAATTATTGTTGAAATTAATTATTTCTTTTAAGAAAAACTGTAGATTTATATGTCTAGCAAAAGAAATTTAGTTTACAAAAGGAGAACCATAACTGATAGGTATTGTGTTGTGATGTGACTGTAGTTTTTTTTTTTAACTGTTTTGTTCTTGTCAATGAGATACTGCTATATGTTGAAGGAGAGGTTGCCTGTAGATTATATTATTATTTTTGAATGTTTTGATTTCTATGGTGTATTTTGTGATTTCTTAGTGTCTCTTTTATATATTAGAAGACATGTAATCAGTGGTGTAAATGAAATGTTAATGTCGTTTGATCGTAGTTCCTGATTTAGTTAATGCTAAACTATCAAGCCAGGTCGTGACACCTGTTTTCCCTCTCACTTGCGGGTGCTTCCTCTCTACCTCCTGATCAATTTCTCTCGCATGGAACCCACTCTTTTTACTTGATTGTGTATTGTCTCAGTTGACCGACTAATTTTTTTCAGTTTTACCTGCATTATTTGATGCATCTTTTTTTTCTTTAATGATATTGTTATATCTAGTTTAGAATTGTTGTCTGATAAGGTATGTCCATGTCTGCGAATCTAGCATGAGATTCAAACTCAATCCTTGTGTCCTGATTGTCTGAAAATGCTTGAGAACCAGGTATGTGCAACCATGATATGTGGGTTGATTGTGTAAAAGAGTGGGAACAACTGTTGGCAATCGTTAGTGCAGAGGATTACTCAGTGCTCCTTAAGAAGTTCCTTTCTGTCAATAATGCAGCTATTGTCTGGGATTGGAGTCATTCCTCAGACCTGTATAGTTAGAAGTTATTGTAGACTAAGAAGTTCCTGTGGGAATCATGAACCCTAGAGCTTGCAACAAAATTGTTTAGCGATTTAGGCATAAGCTGCCCCGTTTCATATATTATGACCCCTAGAGCTTAACTCTCATGCCATTGAATCCCTTATGTGCAGGTAAGTGAATTGTTCTGGATTTTGTTTCATTCCAATGACTAAAATTCTTTCTATGCTATAGTAAATAGGTGAAAGTTATAGTATATCACAAAGATTTCCTTGCGATTCAGGACCCATGGTTTGCTAACCAAAATGGTACCTTCGTGCTTACAGGGTTAAGTCTCTTCATTATGCCAAGTTGCACCGAAGTGGCATAGGTTGGTCCCATACTTCAAAAAGCCTGATTGTACTTCCTATTGTTTATGATAAACCTCTGTTTCCCTGACCTGAGAAACGGAGATGAGTGAAAATTAACTTTGCAAGTCACCATACCTAGTCTATCCCCTATCTTTATCTGTTTGAGATATTGAGAATACTGCATGCTCTTGGCTTCAAGCTTAATTCTTAAAATCTTAATTAAACCTTGGCAACGCTGCTAGATTACTGATTTCTTGGATGTCTGGCAGTTTGAAATGTCCAAATACTTGCAAATCACCAGGTAAAAGTGGTTGAATTTATTGCTTATACCGTTAATTTTACCCATCACATACAGATCATGCAAGCACAACATAATTGTATTGAACTAGGCATTGCAATTTTGTTTCCTACCTATTGTTTTACGGATCATGTTGGCCTTGATTTTGCAGATTATTGGGTTAAATTGCAGTAATGTGATACATTGTTCAGCTAAGGTTAGTTTTATTGTGATGTGTTCCTGGTTTGGTAGAAGCTATTTTATCTTTGTCTAATATAAGAATATGGATCTGATTCTTCCATGCTTATAATACAAAGTCTGGTTCAGGAGGGAATTGGTATAGCAGAAATTTTACACGCTATTGTCACAAGAATTCCTCCTCCAAAGGACACTGCAGCAAGTCCCCTCAGAGCTCTAATATTTGATAGGTACATCAGTCATATTATAATCTTCATGACTGTTTTTTCATGAGTTACACATACTTCTTTTATTAACCTTTGTTTGGTGGCAATTCTATGATCACGGCTGGGGGTTTGCCTGACACTTTTATTTTGCTTTATCTTCTTTACTTTTCATAAAATGACTTTTGCATGTTTGCTTATGAAAGCATATTCTCGACCATGTAATAATTCTTGTGTAATGCAGTTTACGCTTCATCATCATTCTTTACAAATTCAATAACTAGATGCTGAAGTTTTTACCATGCAGACAAACTATAAAATATTTGCTATCTATGCTAAAATACATGCTACGGTTTATTTGGTTATAAAATGATGTTAACCTACGCTTTAAGAATGTGTTCTAATGTGTTATATTAATTCCTTCTAAATTTTCTGCCAGTACACAGATCCCTTACTTTCTAGCCGCAATGATATTTAAAACCTCCTTAAAGTAATTTACTCCAATTGAAATACAGAAAATGCACGTGTTAGTTTTAGGCTTACCCTTCATCCATTAAGAGGCTGGCCTAGGGATTACGGTGGAATGCTTGCTGCGGAGGAGCAAAGGAAGTTGGAGAACAGGAAAAAAAGTAGAGGGGGAAAAAAAGGAAGTATTAGCTGGGAAACTATAGCAAAAGAAGTTGAGCAGAGTTTTCTTTTCTTGGTCTTCTACTTTTTTTTTTTTTTTTTTTACCCTTCACGGAGTACCTTTGTTTATTGGTTGGCTTCATTTTGTAAACTTTTTTATATGGTTTTTATTAAAAAATTTCTTCATAAAAATATGATTCATGCAAAAACTGTGCAATATAAAGTCCTTGTGCAGTGTTGATTTTTATTTTGGGTAACACACCTGCAGAGCAGTTTGTTCATCTCAGCGATTGAAGGGACGACTTCATTTCCATAACAGAAAGCGCAACCACACAAGATTTTCTAATAAAGCCAAGTCTTGGGCTGGCTTGTTTGAAATTAAATAGTTTGTTGGATTGATCAACAAGGCGTACTCCATTAAATGAGATCCCAATAGATCTTCCTCTTATGTGCATGACTTGGTGTTTTTCCTTCTCCTTTCTCAAACCAATTGTGATTTTTTTTTTGTAGTTCCATAATCTTGGTTTTTCTTCTGTACCATATATTCATTGCAGAGCAAGATGTCAACGATAAAACAAACAGGATTGGGAAGAAGAGAAAGCTGGCAGCTTGGATATAGATATATTTTGATTTTTGTTTGCTATCTCTATTCTGCTACCTTAACGTTTTTTTTTTTAATTTAATTTTTATGAGCTCATTTGTCTCATCTAGGATTCAATATGCAGAATAATTGTTTGTATTGCTGCCAGATTTATTTTATTAAAGGATGTTTTGAATTAAATGTTAATTGAGTTTTGGGTAAGGTGGAAATTATTTAAAATCGCATTGAAACTTTTAAAAATAAGTATAACATCGTTAGCTACGAGCCAAAGATGAAGATTTACTTTTTTGAAGAAGCCATGCTTTCTTGAAAACAAACAAAGTATCAAAACCCTATTTTAATTCTTTTGTTGTCCCCTTTCTAGCTGCTAATTCAGCATTAAGGTTTGGTATTAAGATCTATTAAAGTTGGGTAATGTTGTAGAGATTCAGTCCCATATGTTCATAATGTTCAAAGGGATCCTTGTGCACACTGGCAGGAACTCTGACAAACATAAACCAAACCAGCACCATTTGCCATTTTCGGTCATAGATGGAGTTTTATTTGTTTTATTCTGTTTATTGATGAATGCTGCTGGCTTTTTTACTGATAATAATACTGTTGTTTTTTTTCTTTCTTGCTCTTTTTACCATTTAACTGTTCCGTATTTTCTATTTTGGTAGCTACTATGATCCATACAGAGGTGTCGTCGTCTATTTTCGGGTTGTTGATGGGACTATAAAGAAAGGTGATAAAATATATTTCATGGCTAGTGGTAAGGTAAGCATCTCATGATCCTTTGCTTTTTAAGTTCATCACTTACCCGTGTTTCCATAGTCCCATTAATTTTATTATATATTCTTAATGATACAGTTAACCTTTTTTTTCTGACTTTTATTCTTCAAAACATTCAGCATATTTTTTACCTATTATGTGAAATGCAATAACTTGGAATCAATAGAAGATAGAAGACCTGGAATCAATAAATTATAGGCTGAGTTTTTTATATTTATTTTTAATTGCTTATAATATTATTAGTTATCATTCAATATTACTGGAAAATAAAATGAAAGTATACAACAACAACAACAATAAAACCTTAATCCCACTACGTGGGGTCGG